TTCAGAACCGCAAATACTCACAAGAGAGATACGTCCATGGTGCTACCGTAAACCTACTTTCTAAAAAAGACTTTTGTTAGGGTAGATTGTTTTCTTGATAACTTAGTTACTCTAGACGCAACTTTACTCGTTAACGGCCTGACGTTAGGCCTATAGCCTATGTAATATTTCTGTCTGTCCCTGCACGATATCCCACAGAACTCAATGTATATAATAAATTATTTACAATGTTTGAATCCTTAATATTTTTCATAAGAGACAAACTGATTCAACAATATTTTGAGGGTGGATATACCTATGATGAAATCTGCTGTATACTCCAACTTAGACATGACTTTACATGAGTTGCAGGTAAGCTCACAGAAGTCTTTAAACAGTAACGTTACTTGTTAGCCAAATTAATAATGCTGATATGGACAACCTGTTCTTACTGGTCTTTCTACCATGGCATACACACAAAAACCAACACGTCGTGTTTTCTGAAACTTAAACCAAGTGGTAATTGCCCCGAACAATACATTTAATAAACAGTTTGTTATACACAGCACTGTCTAGTATTTCTGGATTTCAAGATGAAATTGAGAGGGCAAAATGGAATATCTGTATCGGTTGATAGCTTTCTTTCTGGATTTGATGAAAACAAGTCAGCATATTTTTACAGTGTGCAAATTAGAATTAGACTGGGGATAAGTTGGCCTGAACATTTTTGCTGAAAATGTTTTTCCCCCAAAACAGTTGGTTGAATTCTCAGAAAGGCCACATTTTCTTGTCAAGGGCAGGGGTAGTCTAGCATTATATGGGACTAGTATATGCTTTGCAGGTGGGATTTGTACTTGCCTTATTGGGAAACATTGTCATTTGTTAAACTCGGCTTTTGCAGGTCCTATGCAATCGATTTGACGGGCAAGGGACATCGGGCGACGCGTGACGGGCGACGTGCGACGCACGACGGGCGACGGCAGATATGGAACTCCATACTTGTGCGACATTGGCCTCGGTACTGCTGTTCAATCTTGAGTCGTTGACGACAGAGACAGGCGCCTCTGTCTTACGTTTTGCGTGCCGTGAACCAACCATTAGACACTTAGCAACGTGCGAAACTAATAGCTGCGTGGTAAACATTGCGGGGATGGATACGTCACACTGAAACAATTACATGTACTTCTAAATTTTGGCCTTTCCTGAGCCTTTTAAGTCTGACACAGCCATGACGATCTGAAACACATGTGTTGGATTGTACCCAAACTCTCCAGAAATAAAATGTGTTTTTCAAACAGCTTTTGCTATTGTTGAGGTGGTGATTTTTCAAAGCTATATAGCCTTTTTACATTGAATATTTTCAACGATAAAGGAACCAATTCCGAATCTTCCACTCAACCCAAAACAAAACTGGATTGAAGATATCTTTTTTTAAATACACCAAATTCTAATGAATCTAAGGTAAACGAAATGCAGAGCGCAAATGAAATGATGTATGCCAAGGAAAAAGACAATACCTAAATTTAAGTAAAAATTGAATAAAAGGAAAAAAGTGTAGCTGTCTGAACTGAAAGCTGTCTTTTTATAGCCAGGTAACTTATGGTTGGAATCGTGACCGACTGGTCCAAAGCACCAAATTTGGAAGGTACATTCTTTGGGCCATAGAAAGAAATCCCAGAAGGGGTGGCACCTAAAAATATTTCGGGAAGGGTACCGAATTCGCATATTTTCAAAATGGTTGCCATGTGCCATAAAAGAGCATATATTTCAGTACCTTTTTATATCTTGAGAGCAAAACACAGTCTGAAATCTGTATTTGGGGGTTGTCTTTACACATCCGGTACTTAGATAACATTTACTTGCCTTATAACATTACTTGATGATTATTACAAGTCAAAAACCCAAAATGGCCACTAAAACATGAAGTTTGATAAATATCCAAAGTTGCCAAAGCACTAAAGTCGTGTACAGAATAAACGTGCACAAACCAATTGGACTTTTGCGCAGAAGAGGGAAAAAGAAAAAAACAAGACAAAAAGAATGTTTTTTCGCAAAGTTGCGAAAAAGCCAAGAACTTTAACGAAAGCAATAGCTGCTTCAGCAGTACACCGAAGCAGCTAAAAACGCTTGTACGTTCACCATATGGCACGCTACAGTAGACTTGAAGAAATGCAATGGCAAAGTGACCTCAACACACCTATAATATATAGCTATTATATTATAGACTATCCACAATCTAGATTTCTAGACGAAGTGTTGCATGATTTCAATAAGGGCGATCCACAATTGGTGCGTTCGATTAGCTTGCTTGAATACACCAGTGTTACACGCAAGGGAAGCCTCGAAATGAGAGTAATCGAACGCTGCAGTGTACTCGCCAACGCATTCTGGGAAAAAGGTCAAGTCCCCGCCAAGTTCCATCATGTTCGTCATTGCACGAGCAGTCCATCCGTGACGTCATTACACTTGGGCAGCCTCCAGAGACCCGCTCGCCAACCGGGGTAGTAGTGGCTGACACCAGGGCAGGCACGAGAATCACGTAATGGCTAAACGAACGCTCTCGTGTAAGTTTGACTTACACGTGTAAGCTAATCGAACGCACCCATTAATACAAATCCAAGAGTTTGCAACGTGTTGGCCGAGCACAACGCGTGATCCGACTCTTTCCACACGCGCATTTAAGTTTGCAGATTTTGCGCTTTGTGATTGGCCAAAGCGTTGCAAACTCCTCGAGGCACACTACAGAGGGATCCCAATATGACGCTTTTAGCGTCGATCTGAGCACTTCCGAGTTTAAAAACGAGGCTGTATGTGTCAGCTTCAATTCATAATACGATCAGACGATGGGAAGTAAGGAGTCATGACACAAAATACATAAAGGGGATGTTAAGTTAAGACTTTTCAGGCTGCAAATTTTTGTGGAAGAGTCTTTCAGGATGACTCCACAGTCCACACGTAACATCAAAAAAAAAATAACAGCAATTTACCACGAACTAATGTACCGGTACCTACGATGGTTGTGTATCTGAGCGTGGTTTAAACTAAGCGGCGTCACACGTACGAACCGGATACTGCATGTACTGTGTCGACTCCTCGGGCTCGCGCGACTAAGTTCAACATAGAGAGCTCGGTTTCGATGCGGATATGCGCAGACGGCGCTTATGTGAAATCCCTCCATTGTGAAACGCCGTATTGACTACGAGATATACACACATTTTTATAGAGGCTTATGAAACCACTATTCTATAGACTGCCGGGGAAAGGGTCGTGCATAACCGTTTCAGTAAACGTTTGATGTTTTCCTCTCAATGGAATGTGTAACCACAGGTGACGTAATGGCAACTATAGAACACCATACTATGTCATGAAATACACAGGAACGTCCAGAGGATCGAAGAGGACAAAAAGACGGCTTCGAAACACAGAGCTAGAGAGGTCGCAAGCGCTCGAGTTTTCGCTGGGCTCGATATTTCCTCAGGGCACTTGGCGCAAAGACTCTGTATTTTGAGTTCTATAGTGTGCCTAAATTTCATACTTTTCTTTTTCAATAACGTGTCGACAAACAAAAATGGGGAGAACAGCAAGGAATTGCTCAAAGTGATTTCAGAACTAATTAAATGATGTCAACCAATGCTATACTTTGTGTTTTAATCCGGCAGTATATGCAATAGCTGAATCGCACGCGGTGTACTTCACTGCTCGAATGATACACGGATTAGCAGCCATTCCGAATGATGTTGCAGGTGAGTGGTGATGCAATTACGGGACTCTGACATGATCACGCAATCCCATAACATCATTCACCCGAGGAAAGAGTACAGCTTACATTTGTACAGAGCGAGTTCATAAAAGTGCCATGGCAATCTAATGTTTAGAGCAGTTCTTGTGAATACATCTGGTTTGTGTCCCATTGAACCTGATTTTCAATTTCTTGTTTTACACCGATGTTCAGGGTATGCTTGCGGCCTTTTGATGTTTATGCTAATTTAATTTCTATCATTAGATTTTTAAGTGAGACTGTGGTGTTATGCAAAGCAAAAACCTCAGTGTTACAGCTGTTTCTTTACTAAAAAATAAACTTGCCAAAAATCTTGGGATATTTTGTATTCACAAACTTTGTTCAACTTGATTAGTCGCTTTAGTTCATGGCAGTTGTTGCGCAAAGTTTTTTTTTTACAAATTATCAATGCATGAATGTTTAATTTATAACGTCACCAGAAACCCAAAACAAACAGTGTCTAATTCCTATCAGTAGCAAGGGGGAAGGGCAAGCGGCCAAGGGGCAACTGTACACCGTGGGAACTCGTTGCCCCATACCCCCCACATGTTCTCAGGTGAAATTCAGATCACGAACTATTTAAGTATGTAGAGATATGCAACAAAGGACCAATACTGCTTTTGTCGTGTGAGACAGTAATCGAATGCACGTTGCGCATGTTACTTTCTTGACAATCGCCTTGACTGATGTTATCATTATCGCCCTGACATTCAACTTATAGATGAAAAGAAAGAGGCTTCATATCTTCTTGATTGAACTTTCGCAAATAATAAATGCATTTTGCGCCAAACATTCACAATATCCCCACTGTTACCGACAGGTAAGAGGGCTACTGCTGTGATATCACATTATGCATTGACTGTCGTGTATTAAATAAAATATCCCCAGCCCCCAACATCCAAAATCTTTCGCCAGTCGTATACGGCCCAAGAAGCTTGTAAAGCCGTGGGTGTCGCGATTGGAAATTGAAAAATAACAAAGAGGAAAATCACCAGTTTGCTTGAAAATTCCTAGGAAACTACCTCTTCCGCCATTATTGGTTTGTTCTCAGTTTGCTTCAGATGAGAGGCCCCCACGAAAAAAATCTCGCGACGCTCACAGCCGGAGATCCTGCATACCAATACGTGAATCATGAATGTGAAAAAATTGACAATTTCTTTGGTAACCCAGAATAGTGGCAGTGCGTGGGAAATAAAATAATCAGATATAAACGTGTATTTTAAGGATTATTAAAAGAAAAACCCAGACACAAGTGGGTCCTTTCATGGAATTTTGCACCAAAGAGCATCTCGATACATTTAACAATTCAGACTGGTAAATAACACACCAAAAAGGGCGAAGACAATAACGTTTGCGTTTGTCCAACTGAACTATACGGTGTATATGTTTAATGGCATTTTTGGGAGGGCATAATACGCATCAAAACACAAAAGACTTCTCATATGATTCCTTTCTCCCGCTTTTCACAGCTCTTGGCCTCCTTGCCTACCGATTTCGTGATAACGACGAGACAAGAGGGTTTGTTTTGGGAATCGCCATCAGTGGGTTTGCTGTCGGCACGATGAGTAAACAACCTGCTTTTTTAGTGATAAGATTAGAAAAATGCTGTGGACTATGTTCTGTCTAAACGTAAAAGTATAATACTTTTTCTAGTAGTTTTTTCTAGAAGTAGCACATTTAAGGCAGAAGCAGGCAAAAGAATATCGTAGTATTAAAAAAACTGTTTCCTTTTAACAGAAGCTCTGCATTCACAGAATGACATATCTCGATGACAAATGTTCAATTTTATATGTGCTTTTATTTTTTTTCCAGTTTCACCCCCATTCGGCGGAGTGGTTTTCTTCTATCTGGGGAAGGCGGCTCCATTCATTATCATAGCTGGATTTTTGGGATTACTGGCACGTGCGTTGATAAGTAACTTGCTCTTTACACTCATAAAGAGTTGGGTAAAAACGTTGGGTAAAAATTATTTTACCAGATACTGGGTCAGACCTACGCAACACTAGATGATTGTTTACCTGCGTACAAAAACTGTCCATTTTTATGATGGGTAAATTTGCATTCATTTATTGGGGAAAATGATTTCCTATTTAGTTACCATACCTCAACTTGACTGGATAATGAGATTCTGAATGTTGGCAGTAGATGCAACAGGGCGGAGCTTCATTTCGTCGAACAAAATTCGCTAAATTAGAATCTACATATATTTAATCTTTTATGTTGCTGTGGTGATTGTTTGTGCTTTCGTGGATAAGATCCTGTTTCAGACCAACAGCAGTCTCGAGGAAAAATTGGGGGTTACAAAGAAAGCCTAAACATCAGAATAGGGCACAATTCATGTACCCACTGTGATTCCTGACAAGTGGCGAACTGATGCATCAAGTAATGTCATCTTAATATTAGAGAGTTACAGTGACTGCGTACACAAGGACTATACACATGTTCAGTGTAAGTATACTAGAATTGACCTACATTAGGCTAGTGTCACTACTTGAAAACAAGATTCCTCCAGATCCCTCGTTCGCAGAATATCACACGTCATAGCCTACCTAGTAAAATTATGGTTTATTTCAAAGCTTTTACAAGACCAATCATTCGTTAATTATTGTGCCTAAATATTGGGCACCTTTGTTAACCCAACCGCTGGAAAATTCTGAGCACCAACCATGTTGGGGAGAAAAAGACCATCTGTGTAGGCAGTTGGTGTATTACTCAATATTAGGATCGAGGTTGGACTAATTCTATCCAACTTTTCAAATGACAGTGTACCAGCAAAGTTGTTGGGAAGACAACGACTAATTTTACAGCAAGAAAACGAAAGCGAAGTGAATTTAAGGCCGGTTTATGCATACTGCAGGCGAATGTGAAAGCAAGGCAAATATGTCAGGCACGATTCACAGCAAAATATTGGTAAAGTTGAAATGTGTTCAACTTTTGTGATTTCGCAGAGCGAATACTTGTTTTCACGTCAATTCGAGCTTGTGTTCGCATTCGCACTAACTATGAACCAATGAATGTTCAAATTCTGTGAACACTCGACATGAAGTCACCAGTTATCTATTTCCATTCGCGTGAAGTGTAAATTAGCTGTTTATTCCAGCCTGTCTCTCAAGTTCATTTTCAGATTTTAATACCAAAGAAGGCAATCGAAAATCCTGTTTTGCTAAGACAATAGTTTTGAAAGCACAGACATGGTAAAAGGTTACATACAAAACTGTGTGAAATAACTCAGCACTTTGAAACGTTTTGAGAAGAGAGCCTAAATAGTTACAGATGAACACTATGTCTGGTTTTCCCACCAATGGCCGGTTCTATCTTCCGCAACGATGGATGGAATCCAAATGGGACATACATGTACACGCATTTGTGCATTATATAGCTTCAAACTCGGGGAACTAGTTTTTACACCTCCGTCCGTCAATATGTACGATCTGTAGTTAATTTATTATGTGAATGAAGTTCGGAAACTCCACAAAAATGCTGAGATCGTGCGAGGAGATATTCCCATAATGCAATCCCTTGCCCTGGTGGTTTTTGAAAGGATGAAGATTTGTACGGTTTTAAACGTCTCCTAAGATGCTGGGTCAACTTCGTCTTCGACTTCACATCTGATTTGCCTCGGCATCGTCGAGCAACGCCAGCCGCATTCCCGCAGTTTCTTGCCGATGAATTTCTTGGCAGTCTTTCGGAATGGCCGGTTGAAGAGGCAGTATATGAACACGTTCAGAAAACTGTTACTTGCCGCTAGCCAAAATACTACCAGCTCTAGCAACTCGGAGAGAGCCGTCCCGGATAGGGCCGCGTAGGCCCCCGAAACGGTGTAGGGTGTCCAACAAAAAGCAAAGGCGGCCGTAACCGCGATGAATGTCCGAAGCGCCTTGCGGTCAGAGCCGTGAACCAAGGCGCCTTGTAAATCTGCCCCAACGCGGACCAGCTGGCCGGGTTGGATACGGCGTGCATGGTATCGGCTTATTCGGATCAGTCGGTAGTACATCACCGAAATTGTGATCAGTGGTGTCACAACCCATAAGCACAGCATTGCCATTCTCAAGAGTACATTACTAAAGTCAAAATTGCAGAAGAGAGCAGCGGTGTTTAATAAGACTACTGGCCTTTCATAAAAGCAAACGAAGGAAGCAGTCACCAGAAGGCAGAAAACAGACCCAATAGTTACTACAACAATGACTCTTTGCCTCTGGAAAAGGGAGGGGAAACGTAGAGGCATGGTGACAGCGACGTAGCGCTCTACATTCAAAAAGGTGATAAACACAATGGACATTGTGACCGAGAACAAGGTGAGGATGGCGTGGGCCATGCAGAACCCCTGGCCGAAGGGCCAGAAATTCATGGCAGACGCCACGACATGCGCAACGCCCAACACTCCGATGATGAGATCGCAGACCGCCAGGCAGGTCATCAGCACCTTGGTGCTTTCGGCCAGTTCGCTGACTCGGTGGGTTATGATGATGGACAGGGAGTTCCCCACGATAGTCGGCACGCAGACCATGACGATACCACATGTGCGAGCTACATGGAACGGGACCGACAACTTCAAGTCATCCGGCCCTTCCGTCGTCATGGAGTTACTCATTTTTTCAGCATGCGATGCCAATGTAGGACATGATCAAGCCATTATCACAATGGAGAAGCTCACTAAAGCGTTTCCGAACCCCAACATCGTCAGAATTAAGGTTGTCCTGTACTGGGCAACCTCCGATGTCGTTTTTAACATTAACTTCGATACCCTTACTAATGAGTTCATGAAGAGTTACCGCATGCACTCAGACCCGCGGAAAGTGTCTGATGTCTTCTAAACCAGTTTTCATCAAAATCCTATGTAACAATGGTCGATATAAATCTCTCTTTACTCCTTGTATACCAGCAGCGAGTAATCTATACATGTACATGCACATGTCTTAATCGAAATACATTGAAGATCATGCCGATTCTGGCTGCAAGACCACAATGAACTACAAACTCGATATAAACGCTGCCTTTTGACTGGTAATGCCCAGGACTGGTGTTTGCTCATTACAACACAATGACGGGCACAGCTCGTCGATACACAAGTTAGGCTTCAGATCTGATACTGTTTGCCTGTAAGTTTCAAGTCATCTACATATCCATCTGTATTTCGTATTTTCAGGGGCGCAAGCTTTAACCTTTGGACCTGTTCAAGCGATTGCAGAGCCAGCGACACGTCATCGATCCATTTAGATATCAGACTTGCTTTTATTTCCTCTACTTTTATTCCAAAATAACTCAAATCCATTTGTCCCTGTGTCACGCCCGTAAGAATTTGAATAACTTAAGCCTTTTACCCAGCAATATCGAAATCTTGAAGGCTTTTCCAAAGATCGTCAACATCGGAAATGTTTATGATTCACAGTAGGGGTGTGGCGACTGGCGAGCTTCTATAGACAGTGCCGACGAACAATGCAAAATGCTAATAATACTATTCAGAGTTCGAGCAAAATCCGTCCATGCACTGCCGAGATTTGAAGGAAGCTTGAACATCACCCTTTCAAGTTCATCCTTTCAACTTTCAAGTTCAAGTACTGTGTAATTAAAAATACTAACAAATGCAAGTGAGGAAAACAGCAGAAAAGATCGTCGGAAAAATCTGTGAGGTCGGTAGGTGTGGGTGTGTTTGTGAGGGGTGCAGTTATTCATGCCTTGGTGGAACTATGACATAGCCTTTTGTTGATGTTATTTTAAATACACCTTTGACAACATTGCGTCACAGCTCACTCCTCTATTGAGTCCCTTTTGGAAAAACAGTGACATTTCACTTTTGAAATGTATCTTTAATTTAAAAAAGGAAATCCTTCACAGACCACACAAAATGAGGGGTGTATTATCATTGTTTGTTTCAAAAGCATTTGAGTAAAAGTGTACGCTGTCCGTTTCCCAATTTTGTCGTAAAACGCACGTTTTGAAAGTGAAGCTTAAATGACATCAATTTCCTTGGAAGCAGTCGTCGATAATATACTGAACGCTATCTTCAGGTGGTCTGTCTCCGCTTCGTACATTGAACCACTCCATAGTTTCAGCAAATACCGGAAATTAATGATTAAGCCTGCGTATTTAACAGGAAAATTAAAACAAACACCAGGAACCTATTAAACACAGATTACCAGCCTCTTGATGGAGTGGTGAACTTGCAGCTAATATAACATGTTGACATACATGATCGATTGCACACAAGGTGAACGAAGACTGGAAAGTGCTGGAACACGTGCACAAATTCCAGATCTAAATATAAGATAACTGCGGTAATCGGGCGAGAGAACGACGTTTTTAGCTCTGCTCAAAACTGTAAATGTCTTCGAAACACCTGGAAGGAATTTAAATTGAAAGGCAATAAACCAGTGTGATCCAATTTTAAGTCCTCAGAAGAAGGGTGCTAAATTTTGGTGCTGTTTGTGGACATATTTGCTTTAGTTGCAGAGATTGTCATTTATGACCACAGCACGACACAGGAAAAAGTGGGCGTCATGGCAACGGTTAGACTACTACTGGACCCTTTGATTCTTGTCCAAGCCGGTTGGTGAAATCCTTTTTATGTAAAATACAACACTGCTTCTAATTTCATCCTGGTTTTGCTAGATGTTTATTGGTTGAACCCTGAAAGAGCAAGGAGCGACCCCCACCCAAAAAAATAATTGCTCCAATATAATTGAAATGCATTTTGTCACACACCGAGCCTTGAGGGTTTTTCCAGTAAGATCTTGGTGTCCTTTTGACACCAATTTGGTGAAAATCGTAGATGCCGTTCTTGCGCAACGCAAGAGACAGGTCTGCAAAACTCAGTACCTCTTCCGTAGCGTGCTCATTGCTCAGAGGCCGACATGTTTGAGGTCATAAACTTCGAATCACGACATCGAATCTCGATGTTACACTGAATTGAAACTTCAGTGTGTGACATTCATGTGAATAACCTGGCTCTGAGAATTTACTGACAACACGGGAACTGGTTGTACACAATTAATCTTTTGTGAAAAATAAATACCATATCAGGACCTTCCTGTTTATCACAGTTTATGGTTGTACTATCAAGGAGCCCCGTTTCTGTTTCTAATGCTGCATCCGAATCTGTTGTCTAGAGCTAGGTCTAGGTCTTACTCCATTGGAAGTAAGCGGAGACGGGCAGACAATAGACCTACCCGTAGCTCTGGAAGCCCATTTCGGACACGGCCTTTAGGATGTGCAGAACTGATCGATCCCTACAACTCAGGTTTCGGCACCTTGATTATTTATTGATTTTCTATGATATTATTGTTGAATTACAGGTGTACTAACGATAGCTAGCATGGGCTTCGGTCTGCTGGAACCGTCCCTGCCAATATGGATGCTGGGTACGATGGATGTTGAAGAATGGCAGCTAGGTTGGAATATTCTAATTGAAGATTTTGTTAAATAAACTGTAGATTTCAAGAGATATGTTACTTATTAGAATGAAACGTTACCAATATAGGTCAAGTTCGCCTTTTGCTGTCTTGCAATCTATGTAAAACATAGAGTTTTTGTACAATGTCATTTGACATCTTCAACAGGTATCGTGTTCCTTCCACTGAGTATAGCGTCTATTATCGGTAGTTTGGTACTAGGATATTTCAGCTACAAAATAGGAAGGTAAGGTATGTATTTCGTCAGGTTCATTACACTTTACTGCGTAGCCTATACAAATGTCTTTTTCGAGTTTATGTGACTTTTCTTTTGTACACAGAGTTTTTTATTCTTTCTCATCGTTAGATGGCTGTGTGCGGCGGTCTCCATGGTCGTACTCGGCATTGCTCTTTCAGCAGTAAGACATTCCAATCTCCCGTTCGTTCCAACGTAACAATATTGATCGAGATTTCAAAGAAAAGTCAAAGAGACATCATTACCACAAACTCCTGGAAGCCATAACCATAAAACATCTCACCGTAGTCTGGAAAAATCAGAATTGCTTGAATTCGCTTACTGAAAAGATTTCCAAACTGGATAAAATCTGAGTCTTTGAATTAAGCTGCATTTTAACAACTGTAACCAATAGTCCAACTCATATTTGCGGGTTTTCACGTCAACCTATACTTCTTAGATCCCATTTGGAGGAAACATCGCAGGTCTTATTGCTCCAATGACCATGTTTGGTTTGTCCTTCGGTAAGTCTCCCGTTCAAGCAGGCTTCTTATAATCCATTTTTTTTTTATTTCGATTGCGACCCAATTGTACGTATTTCAACATTTATGCAAAAAGCGTTTATTTCATTCAGGTTCACTGGATGCTACGACCTGCGCCCTATTCAACTTATTGGTTGAACAGCGCCACCGAGGAGCGTACGGGGGTGCAGCAACCCTGACGATAATCACGTTTAGCATTGGCTTTGTCGTAGGTAAAATTACATAAAATGACCGAACAAATCACATGATGCATGACTAGACTATGCGGCATATAAAAATAACGGAACAACAATGTATGACCAATGGAGAGATGGTTACAGGTGGCAAGGCATAAATGACAGAAAGATAAATACGTGATGACACGCAGGCCCCCCCCCATAGATAAAGTGACAGCGAAAAAACGAGCATGGTTTACCAGAGAGTGATGATGGTCGCGACAGTTCCAAGACACACTGCAAATGGGGGTAGTCTGGGACAGCTTCATGACATTAGGAATTCTGAGAACAGATTCCTGATGATAGAGAGTGATACGCGAATGAGAACAAGCGACTATCAAGAGAGAACGACAGTAACCCGGACGCCAGACGATGACGACTGACGCTGGTAGCTTTATATTGCCAAGAACACGCCGAGCATCTTTGAACATAGCTTTAAAAATCATTGTATCAGCTGTGGTCAACAATTCTTCAGGACCATTCCAGAATGGCAGTCACAACTTGGCTTTGATTTTGATTTCTGTGTAATATTCCAGGTCCGGCATTAAGTGCAGCACTGGTTAATGTCATTGGCTTTCCTTGGTAAGCCAAACTTATTTTCAATTTCTATTCATAATTATTTATTTCATTTGCTGTACGAATAAAATAAAACGCTCACCCGTTCCGCTGGTCTACATGGGCAAAATTAGTGCAAAATAATGCAAAACGGGCACGAGTTTCTAGTTATACACTAATCAAACCAAGCGTACACTGACTTAGCCTAATTCTTGTTACTGAATGTACTCGTTTCTCATGGTCAACGTGTACAGGTGTACGTTTACCGCATGTTTTGGCACCTTAGTTTGAATGCAACCCCACTGTTCTCGCGAAAATACAGATTTTTCAAAACAAGGTTCCAAACAACCTTAAGTTTTGTGCTGAGCAGGCGTAGGAAAAAAAATTCACGGAGAAAAATCTTTGCTTAAATACCACCGAGTGGGATACTCTTATACAAGAAAATGTTGACATGGAAAAGTGAATAATAATAAACCATCGAGAGGTCAAAATAGGGCGATACCGTAGAAGGGGGCCAAGCTGGGATTAAGAAATCCCAGAAACTTTGCTACCAACATGCATGCACACATAAGATCGCAAAATTTCACCAAGGCCTGACATTTCTGGTTTTTATTGAGCTTTTTTTCTCTGACAGGATGTTGAGAGGAACAGGCATACTGACAGTCCTGTGTTCGCCCCTGTGCTTGTTTATGCGGAATGTAGATCGAGCGCCCTCTTCAGGCACCAACGAGGAAGAAAGGATGTTGATTCTGGGAACGCACAAACCCGAGACAGTGGTGTGCCAGGGGCAGAGTTGAGCGCTGACTCGTTTTCACAGGAACCAGATACAAACCTGAGTGCCTTAACTAGCTTGCAAAACTTGCAAAAAGAAAGGGAAAATTGAAAGTGTAATGCATTCTAAAATTGAGAGTCAATTGCAAAGCCCTCCGTCTGTATTTTTGCCAAGTCTCACTTTGAACATCTAACAAAAGACGTACGGTGCAATAACATTGGGCGCTCACTGTTAGTGCACTGTGTTTCTTTTGTTAGACGTTCATGGTGCATGTCAGTATAGGTTTTGGACTTCTCCCAAACATTAGCTGTTGGTGTGAGCCCAATATTTGAAATGCATGACATCTCCAGTAGAGGCTGTCAATAGTCCCAACTACACCGTTTTAAATGATTGAAAATTCGCACCTGCTTGAAGGCCCATTTCATTTATTTTGTAACTTTTAATTAATGCAAGCTTTTTCTTAGTGATGGAATGTTTGGTAACACTTTTGATGGATTAAGCTTCAGGAGCACAAGGTATGTATTTCTCGGTGAATAACTGCAAATAAGGAAATATTTAGTCCAGGCACTTGGCTACATTCTCACATAGATAATTAAAATCTGCATGGTTTTACTTTACTTGGTTTTTCTATTCTGTTGGGGATTTTTTTTGCTGACATAAGTGTATCAGGTTACTTTGGTTGTATAAAAGCAAGGTTTCGAGCTTGTAGCTCAACTCCTGCTCATTTTTTTTTAAATCGTCCACTGCTGTGATCATCGTATTCCCATTCTTTTTGTATAAGTTTATATTTTGATGTTACCGTTTCAGCTTTGTCCATTGCTGTGCGCAATATTTTGCTTTCGTTTGGCAAACTGCTTCAAATCGTTCACTCCTTACTGTTAGGTTTTGGCTGAAATTCAAGCACATTTTTTGAAAGAAATTTCTGAATTTATTTTTTTCGTCACTGTTTATTTGTTTTAGTTTTAAGAAATCAACTTTTAAGAATTTAAACTCTTTCTTGTACAATTTGTCATTGTCAGTCTTGGGCAATGACAAACCTTCAATGTAAAAAGAACAGAAATCAAAGTCTACACAATCAATTTCAAGATCGTGGGATGTCTTGTGCATGTAGTCGTGGGACGTCTTGTGCATGTTCACAGGTGTAAAAAGGTTACCTCACCTAATGAACATGCAATCAATTTCAGTTTGAAGCATGATCCTTGGGAAAACATCTCTTGGAGAACAATTAAACTTAAAAGTCAGAGTATAAATACTATTTGGAATTTTTCTTCAAATTTCCCTTCTTTAACAAAATGTGACAGCAAGCAACAAAATCTAGAAAATGCTTGACAAAATATTGAATTTTAAACACATAATTTTTCCATGGATGGTTTACTGTGGAGATAGCAAAACGGTTAGTTCACCTCCCACTGTAGTCCTTTGGAATCATGCAGTCGTGGGATGTCTTGTGCATGTTCACAGGTGTAAAAAAGGTTACCTCACCTTACTGATCATGCAAATCCTGTCCATTGCCTGTACTTGTCCTTTCTTGTCTCAAGTCCAACCATTACAAACCATGTCTTGTTGCCAAAAAAATCCTTTTTTATCCGGCAGTAATGAATCCTGCAATTCGGGGGTTTGTGCATGTTCACAGCTGCAAAAAAAATGGTTACCTTACCTCAGTAAACATGCAGTCTTGTCCCCCGGCCTTTAATTGGGTTGTTGTCCTGACTTCTTAACAGGAAGTGTTGAAACCATCAGAACTGACCAAAAGCAACGAGATAAAATAACAAATTAAGCACTGAGACGTCTACAGGCTGCAAAATATACATGACAATGAACGCATATATTTAGTACCATTCAAACATTGCTTCCCTTAATACTTATTGCAATGATAAATTAGGGTAGGCTTGATGTCACTAACATTAGCTTTTGAGATGTTTAATGACATAACACAATGTTTACCGCAGTGCATGTGGGTGAAAAGTGGGGATAGAAATCAAAGATCGTCAGTCATGCGAGCCTTCGAGCAACTTTAGACAGAGCAAACTTACATCGCTCTGTTATAAGTGCCAATTCAGTACAAGATTTAAAACAATGGCTGATACACACAATGGTGCACAACAGTTAACACGAACGATTTTGGAAAATGTATGGGCCTTCTCGGTCTAGGGATCTTTTTGACAATTTTCCACTGATGTGCCACTGATGTTCTAGCAACCACCTCTCACCCACAAGGCATCACAGTGCACATTGCATTACATCATTATTTTTAGGCCTGTAACTGGACTTATGTCAATAGAACTTGGCCAGTCTTGGAGAAAATATTGATAGATTAGGAGATTCCATGTATCTTAGAAAGACAGGATTCGATAGTTAGAACTGCTTCTCCAAACACTACTTACTTTCCCTGACAAACACAAGGGATTATTCAGGAAGATTATAAGATTACATTTTTCAACTATTTCCTACGATGCACTACAAAAAGTGGCCTTTCCAAGGCAAACCTTTGGAGGCACACTGCATTGTGAGTCACCCGTCTTCAGGAATTAAAAAAACATAATCTATACCCCTGGCCCTCTATACTGAGATGTTGGTCCGGGGGGTGGAGCTAGGAGTATGAAACGGAAGGAAGTGAAAGATGTTTCCATGAGCCCCTGGATTCAGAGCACGTGATAGAGTGATAATTCAAACACAAAATCAAAGAGCTAAATAACCTCAGAGCTCACGTCTTCAATAAAAAACAAAACTTGTTAGAAGCTTTCATGCAATGTGAGGCAAAATTTTTAAAAATGTATTTCTCGTCCGGATTTTTTAAGAAAAGAAGGAAGTGGGGCTTTTTTTTTCAAGATGGCCGCCATTTTAAAATTTCCTACAACCATTAGTGTTTCCACTGTTCAAAGACTTGTTAAAATGAAAGACAAGTTGGATAAAAGAACTGAACATATTTACAGTGTCGTTTCGTGTTGTATTGGTCTACAATGAACAGTTTTTGATGCATTTGCTTTAACCGCCAAAAGTCAAGATTTATTTTTGATGAGTAATTTTACAGATAAAAATCAAGCACCAAATGTCAACTCTCAAAACCTACAAGTGTACACGCCAAGCTATAAATAAAAATGTGTTTGTGTTTTTTGATAAAAATATGAAGATTGATTAAAAATATTTGATGCAATTTGTTTTTCTTAACATTTGTCGGTTTACTTTTGCAAGTCTATATTTTTTCTACAGCAAAGATTTTACCCTTTGGGACTTGTGACATACAATGTATCCATCACCATTTGACAAACGTTTGCTGACTTGCGCTTTGATGAAACCAAACAAAACAAGATTCAAGCTTTTCATGAGCATGCATGAATGCGTGACAGAAAATACTGGCCTCTCTTGACTGTTTCCTGCCCCTCCCTTGCATTTTTCTAAGTCCGAATGCATTGATGAAAATGGGATCGGGAACCAGACTTATTTTGATATGTGGTTGAGCCTGAGCTCAGGGTGTTTTCGAAATGAGTGAATTAGGCTTAGTCATTGGCTTCACTGACTGATGCAGCATTTCAAACTGCTTGCGAGGCTCTGACTGGAACCAGCGAAACCAAAACCCAAGCCCAGCCCATTCATTTCGAAAGACCCTTAAGTTCCATGCCAGTCACATTCTGGCTACAAAGTTCATGTACATACAAGTATGTGCAGCCAGATTCCAGTGCACTCGCCTTGCTCTAGACTCTCATGAAGATGTATTTTGCAATTGCGCATCAATTTATGTGGTGTACAAAGTGACCGACAGAGTCTATACTGAAAACTTCCACTCACTTGTTTTGCAAGTATTTATTTTCCAATGAATTTGTGGACTTTTTCTGTGTTTTTTACTGCATTTTTCTAAAATGAAAACTAATAAAAAAATCCAGGCAGCCTCCGAAAAAGGAAATAGGCGGGGACAAGAAACATGTTTTTTTTTTACTTCACCTTATTAAAGATGCATTTGACCCCAAATTTAATTAATTGTGTATTCTTTGGGTGGTATGCTGCTCCAAATAAAAGTGATATTGGCAAATGCATCTGCATGATAAACACCACACAGGGAAATAAGACCAGAACTGTGGTGGAAGATATCTACATGGAGTTACCTTCATATGTCTGGTCTTCTAGATGCTGTCTCAGCTTCAGTACTGGTTTTATTTACTAGTGGAATGTCTTCGCTGCCTTGCAATTATTGCATCTTTAGTTTGTCGATCTCCTTGAGTTCTCTTGCTGATGGACTTCATACGTCTACTTGGTTTTCCTTCCCGGTTTTAGAGAAAATATAGGTTGTCTTCTTCCATGCAAATAAATGTTGCTTGTGTCCTGTCATGCATGTACATTAGAAGAGAGCCTGAAAGCTGAACCCAGATGGTGCACTTTTGGAACCCCTGGACAGGAAAAGATATCAGTTCACTAATAATTCAAATTTATGCACACATGCACAGAAATCTTTTGGTGGCAAAATATGCAAGTGACCCATAACAAATGCACAGGGACACTTAGTTCGTGGTAATTTTGTCTCAGACCTTTTTTTTCAATTTTGTCTTCCAGATATCGACTAATACCGTCATAGCTATAACTTTCAGGTCCAATTGGGTTTTATGATGTATGAAATACATGAGGCGTGAGGCCAAGCACGTGGTTGTCCGAAATCTGCACAAACAGGTGTTGGTAGAAAATCCTAGAATCCAGGAGACGCTTGTTTTTCAAATTTGACATTTATTGATCATCAGCAATTAGAAGTGAGGGCAAAATCATGCCCCCCGGCGAGGCGGGATAAAGTTCGTCCAACACTGTGTGGGATTAAAGTAAAGCCCTGCAATGACACAGAAGTATATGTGTTCTATTTCAATGATTATAAAATAATTAAATGCAATAGTAATTTATAAAATTACAATAAAAGGACTTTGTTCAAAATGTGTTTTGGCTTACCCAACAAGCAGCATTTCAGATCACTGAGAAAACTTGCTATCTGCAGCGCATTCAGGATTACACTCCCAGCTTCTGGCACTTTGCAAAAGATCTGCCACAGCGATACAAATGCTGCAGTAATACAACAAAACAACAGAATATGTGCTCAAATACACGAACGATTAATATTACCAAATAATTAATAAAATATTACCAAAACTATTATTCTGCCGAGCCGTGCGCAAAACGCGTGACGCAACTGCAGCGGAGACTACACTATCTTGCTGAGTCGAGTACACATGCAGGTCAAAGGTCAGCCACGAGGAACTTAACTACTCGACAGCGCGCTGACGCCGTGTGCACATCACAGCGGCATATGTTGTTTGCACGGTGATTTAATGCCTTGAACTAGTTACTGGCGTGACCTTCAGATGTTAGTAGCTCTGGAGGAAACTCCTGGTCACTTTCGCTTGAGCAGCCATGGCGTTTGGTTGGCGAAGAGATAATAAATTTGTCTGTTTTTGCAAAAGCGCCCTGCCCTGTTCAGTGCCACTACCTGTCAGCCGTATAGCTTACTTCAATGCCTCTTTCAAGTTTGAGCTCAGCATATGTATTTGAAAAAAAATCGAGCTCGGTGAGTACATGCACAAAGAACATGCTGCCGTTCATCCAAACTTAGGCAAGATTTAGTCAGGGCAGTACCACTCACCAGTCGCCAACTGTCTTAACTGTCCCCTCCACAAGGTTTCTCTGGCATAAGGAGACGGTTGCTGCCCATAAAACAGACTTTTTAAGGTGTGCTAAAGGAACGTGTCAAAGCATAAAGTTTACACAGCGACAATAAACTCAAACTTTATAGTCCAACTATCACAGTTTTTCATATCTTGTAGCAATGCCCCAATCTTAAGGCTTCTGGTGAAGATGGTTCGCTCAAACGTCAGCGACTACAACTTATCCTCAATCGCCAAGTAATAATGAAGTTATTCTAGTTTACTGTAACCAAAAAAAGCATATAGTCATCCAAAGTATGGACTACATTCTGTTGACGCGGATGGTTACAGATGCTGTGAGACAAGAGCGGTTAGACTTACTTCCAGCCCACATCAATTCCAAACAGCTGTTTCGGGATAAAAAGTGGTTAATGGTTATCGTTAATTGGATGTTTGTCAGTTGAAAATAAGTGAGACAATTTCTTGCTAGATAATAGACTCAAAAGCTTGAAAGTGTTGAGCTTTATATGCAATCACACGTATGAAGCCAAAACACTGTTCACAACCATGCACAATTAATGCATGACATCTGGATGCTCAACCAACCATAAAAACTTCACGTGTGAAATTAGGCTCCAAAAAAATTGGGGCTTTATTTTCCTTTAAAAAAAACCTCCCTACCCACAATTCCGACCCGTGATTCGAACCCACACCCCATGCATCACAAACCATAATGCCGTAACCGCTTGACTACGACAATTCACACAAATAGATGGCGTTTTTACTGTTGATATAACGATGAACGGCTGCAACACAAGTCTAATACACATTGGGCATGCGCAATACAAACACAACCATCGTGGTTTGGCTTCATACGTATAGTTGCATATATATCTCAAGTGATAAAGGTAAATAGCATGCATGGGAGAAAACGTCTGTACTGATTACGCCATACTTTGACAGGATCTCTCACTGGGAATTGTTCTTCGCTGGCTCACAATAACGACCATGAAATCATGCACGGGGCCAGTTGCATCGCACCAACAAAATGAAAATTCCCACCAATGTGGCTCAATAGAGTTCCGAAGTGAAAACGTCACACACAAGAGGGCATTAGTACGAGAATTAGCGCGTTTGCACTCCCTTTCTGGTTCAAAATGACGTCACACTTCTATATGTGCTCAGCTCTATGCATGGATCATAATTATAGACCCCGCCACTGGCGTGGGGTCGTCGCACTCAGCCCGGTAACTTGCATAATCCTTATACGGCGCCCTCATATGATAGCCTTTATTGTTCAACATGTGTCATACGTCACCAGTCAGTATGTCCAATCGACTTGACAGATAAGCCAATCGCCCCCCCCCCCCCGTCGGTAATATGTAATTATTCATAATTGCATATGAATGACATGATCTTGCACTGACCTTCCACCCATCAAAGCAGTTAGACTTGTAGACTCGTTAATTATACTGCAGGTATGAACGACATATAAACAAGTCCTGCAATGTGACTGGCTGCTACCACTTTTGGTAGATGAGCCCATTCGCTATGTACAAACGGCTGGCAGATTCGTTATTGTCGAGATTTCTGAACTGAACTCATAGTTGTAAGTGGACACAAGAGGGCGCGAAACAAGTAATGATGTGTATCCAAAACATAAACGAAGACGTCACAGAGACACGGAATTCAGTCAAGTCTAGATAGGTTCCGAAAAATGAAAGGGTTGTGGGAATGATTTGCATCCGCTAGTGGTGAAACCGGGAGCAAAGTGCCCCCTTCGCCCGGCACACACATGCCCCATTCTTGGTCAGAACACAAAGAGGCGGAGCATGATGGATCGGTCAATTAGTGGCTGATGTTAAACCAAATGGTCTGACAAATTAACTCCCCACCCCAATTTGACATTGTTCCGCCACCGATAGTTATATCAGACAATAGAGGGATCCCAATACGACGCTTTTAGCGTCGATCTGCGCATTTCCGCGTTTGAAAACGAGGCTGTATGTGTCGGCTTCAAGACACAAAATACATTAAGTTATCTTAAATTCATACTTTTCAGGCTGCAAATTTTTGTGGAAGAGTCTTTTAGGATGACTCAACACGTAAAATCAAAAGAAAAAATAACGACATTTGACCGCGCACTAACGTACCTGCGATGGTCGTGTATCTTGTGCGGTGGGCGTGGTTTAAACTGAAGTAGCGTCACACTTACGAACCGCATACTCCACTGTACTGTGTGGACTCTGCGGGCGCGCGCGAGGAAGTTCAACACAGAGAGCCTCGGTTTCGATGCAGATATGCGCAGACGGCGCTAATGTGAAATCCCTCTATACGGTATTTCCCCGAATTTGGTCGTGACATGACACTGGGCTGGCTGAGCTGTTTCTGGATACCATAAAAATCAGCACCAATAAACCTATTCGTTATATTTTCCTCGATTGCATGACGAGAGAGAGTCGAACAAACGGAGCACCAGAAAATTACACTCGAACGAACAGTCCTCTGAAGAAAAGTTTTAAAATCTGGTTGCTAACATTGAACACTTTTAATCGCTTTTAAATAGAGCCATCAGTTTGATAGTTTACCGATTAATTTTTAAATGTGGAATTAGTATTCCAGTTTAGTTTATTATTTACAATTAATTCTCCCCAAGAATTTAAACCCATGGAAGACTTCAACAGGCGTATTGTTTGATTTCGTATGGTTCGGTAATGTTTATTGCTTCCAGAAATCTAATAGCATTTCTTGGGTTTTGTACATGAAACATCAGATGTGCATTTGGTCACAATATTAAATAAATTTGCGTATTTTATCTCTGTTTTCACTCTCACAAAATTTCAGAAATCAACCCAGAGAGGGCTGTGTCGTTAGCATACATTGTTATGGCACATGATCCACTGTCAAGATACTTGTGTAGAAAAATTACCAACAAGAGTGCTGGACACAGCCTAAGGGATGTATGTGCTCATTTCGATGACACCAAACCCTCATTGAGATATGGAAGGGCTGCGTAGCACCGTGATCAGAATATCGACAAGAATATAATATCAACTCAGTGCTCTGAAATATGTGATTGCCGAGCTTTTGGTAACGGAGTACCTTCTTCGGGGCGAGCAGATTCAGTTCAATTGAATGAACGCGGAATAATCCACATTCATTCCCCTGGATGCAGCATTTCAAGTTCGAAAATGACGCGCTGCTCCAGTTCCTTACGCTGGACTTACGTATTCTCACCCTCATTGATCTGTGCGCGTAAAGCAAAATAATTCGCTTCGAAAGAGTCCTCTCTGAGGCAACTGCGGATGACTGGTTTACTCGCTCTATGCACCTATTCATTGGACTTTTGGGAATTATTTACGTAGCAATGATCACCTCTATTACAGCACTGTGTTCTTTAAATTTACTTCCATCCCGCATTAGAATGCTTCAGTGAAATACTCCCTTGGTTGAATGACTCTTTTCATACAAGGTAGATTGGTAATTAGAAGATAAAGAGCCCATTCAAAGTATACCTGTTTAATGTAACCTATGCATAGCACTGTAGTGACGAAGAATCGATTTTGCTGCAGTGGTTGTATTGTATATATATATAAGGAAGGTTATGAAGGTCTTGAACTTAATGTGTATTGTAAGATTGTAATAGAAATTGTGGAATGATACCGCTCAGTAGTGACCAAAGGGATCACTATTTATTTTGGCCGATTCAATACCTTACTGATTCGACTCAATTGTGTAATAGGAAAATTTCTTTTCATTGCACGTAGTAATGAGCGCTTATACTCTACTAGGGTATATTAATTGTATGCTTCATTTTACAACCCTTTTACAATGCTTCAGTTAAATGACTCCTCGGTAAGATGGCTCTTTTCATAGAGGGTAAACAACGTAATGAGAAGATAATGAGCCATTTTGATGAAATTAATCCTAGTAATCAGTAGGTGACCTTAAGCTAGGTTCTGTGTACACTTCTTTATGAGGCATATAAAATTCGCATTGAACTCTACGATTCGTTCGGGGATGCTACTGAGTTTGTTTTTCAGCTAATGAAGATCGTTGGAGAGGTATTATGTACCTCTGAATGTAATGAGGGCTGGTGAGCGGCAGGCGACGTCTGACCCTCATGAAGGTGCGCCACGTATCAAGCTTGGGTTAGTGGCAATGAGTAAGAAAACACACTAAGTACATTCGTTTTCTGCAAAGTATAATTTTGCCTATACAGTATACCAATCAGGTCAGCA